CCCAGAATTAGTTTTAATGATTTTTCTTTCAGTGCTTTATTGAGTGCTTGCTCATGACGTTGATTCAGGAAGTTGGCCTAGTTGAAGTAGACCTCTTGTCCTCCTCTTTTTCAATAGCGGATGTTATGCCAGGACTTTTCTCTAACAGCCTGGAAGGTAAATACAGACTACAACTAGAAAACAACATTTATCCTCCATATGTTTTAGGTTCTCCAGCAAACTGCACAAATCAAGGGCTTAATTTGTACATTATGTGTGCCCTTTTAGTCCCCAAGTCTTTGTGTGACAATCTTTCCTACTCTGAACTATACTTGCATGAGCATAGACTTATTTCTTTTTTTGTGAGGGTAAAAAAAGACATTCAAAACAATGAATCATACTCTGGTACATCCACACAATGCTTGTCTCCAGTCACCTTGGTCTGAACATCCCTGATCCATGTGGATGTAAGTTTCCAAGCCTTCTTAAGACTTCAGGTTGTTTGTCACTCACTCACTGTGAGGATCATTTACATGGATCTGGATATGTGATGCCAAGATGAAACTGAGTTAATTCATTATAGTAAATGACACGAGGGAGATGTCTGACACACATTGAATGCATCACTTTGCTTCAGCACTGCAGAGTTCTGCTTTTAGACCTGATGAAACATGTTGTGTTCACTTACAACGTTGTCACATTGGGCAGCTGTGGCTGAGTGGTTAGAGCAGTCGTCCTCGAGTTGAGGGTTCAAATCCACCAGCAGTCACATGCTGAAGTGTCTCTGCGCAAGACACTGAACCCCTCATTGCCTACGATGTGTGTCCCATCGGTGTATGAATGTGATCTAGCACTGATTATTTCTCTTTAGAATGATTTGTTCAATTAGATTTGAATATAGTAGAGTGTATGAATGGGTAAATGAAACACAGGTTGTGTTGTAAAGAGCTTTGAGTGTCTTGATAAGATAGAAAGGTTCTATATAAGTACAGTCCCTTTACCATTACAGACACTGTTACAGTGTCAGTGACAGCAGTGTATGATAAAAGTTAGTGCTTTAGCGATGTGTGATGTGGTTAGTGATGGACTGGAGACCTGTCCACGGTGTTCCCTGCCTCTCGCACAGTGACTGCTGGACATGGGCACCAGCGACCCCCGTGACCCGAAATGGAATAAGCGGGTAAAGATAATGGATGGATGGATGTTTAACCCTCTTGCTCTTGGGACAGTTTGACTCACAGAACCTCAATTTAAGACTGAAGCCTCGTGGCACACCAACCACTGCTTTATTTATCACCACCAGTGCACAGTCCACAGCAACTGCTGAACCTGGGAATTCTGGGAATTGAGGTTGGTGCAAGTTCTCGCAGGGCTATTCAACTAACTTGATCAGGGGCCACAGTTACTGAAAGCCAAGAGCTCAGGGGCTGGATTTCTAGCAGGTATTGTCATTAAGTAAGTTAGTTTTATGGTTTAAAATCTAGTTTTATTTCAAAATGAACCCACTGGTGAGCCAGAGTTGCATTCAGGCCCAAAAAAATCTGATCCGGCTCAGCCCCAGCCCGTTGCAATCATTTCCAACACACACCCGACCCGATGAATTAACAGTAATTACAGGTTCGAACCCAAACCACCCCCACCCCCCGACATTTTTAATTGAGCTTTGACTGCTTATATAGTTAACGGTCGGCGGACGTGCGGCTGAACAGCAGGGGCAGAGGATCGGAGCTGAGGGTGTGTTTGTCCTTTCATGGCCATCAAAGCGCATTAAAACCCTGTTTCTGCCTGCATTCTGCATTATTCAGACATGGACCCTGCTCTGACACGTCTGCTTTGGAATCTCACCTGTTTGGGTTGTCGGCCGTGCGCGTCTGCTGAGTGCAGCGGCTGAATGAACGTCCATTTGGGTGATGGATCGCTTGCTGGCAGTATAGTCTCATCTGAAGCTTAACTGAGCATGTTACCTCTTTTGAGACCAGTCAGCTCGCGGTGAAATGGCTGCATGCAGCTGGTGAAAGTATGGCAAGCCATGTTGCCATATAATTGGTTCGCGGCTGATCCACTGACGCAATCAAAAGTCCGACACTGACTTGGCTCGCCCATCCAGCACATTATATTGGCCCGCCCCGCCCAGAATTTGGGTCGGGTCAAGCCGGGCTTCAGGCCCAGGTTAGAAATGACAGCTCTAGGCCAAAATAAGCACACACGTGGGCCTGATTTGGCCCCCGGACCACCAGTTGAATAGCCCTGCTCTATAGTATCTCCAGACACGTTTTCCAGAACTGCTGCTTACTCATCAACTTCTGCAGCATCCGAACAGGAATCATCTGACCGGCTTCCCTCGTATGAATAATGATCTCTGGCAAACACAAAGACAGCAGCACATCCTCTGTAGTAAAACCTCAATCACTGAGTTAACGGGGCGGTAGTCTTCATAACTTTTCAACATTCTTGAGAAAAACAAAACACTGGCACAAAATCGTAATTGTTGTAGATTATGAATAATCAGAATAGTTTGAGTCAATGTTTTGGGCTTACAAGAAAAAAAGTTTCTTGTTTGTCCTTAAACGTGACAAATCAAACCTCATTGCCATCAATAGTTGATTATCAGCGTCTTCACTGATTATCTTGGTTGTATTTGGTAAACGTAAACAAATCTAAAATTTCGTGCAACAAAGTCGAGAGAGGAATGTTTACCACCTTCCTTTTAATTACTGTCCATGAGCACAGCGGGTCTGGGGGAGGTTCTGTGGACGTACCAACTATGGGCTGACAGGACGACTCCCAGTCTCCTGAAGTCTGGCACAGAATGGTTTATGACAGAAGTTCAGGCACAGTGCCAGAATTACACAAGAATACGATATCAGGAAAAGGAAAAACAATCATTTAGTCTTTTATGATCTTTGAAATCCTTTCAAGAGAATTTAAAGAAAGAATCAGAGCAGCACGGCCCCTCCAGCTACGAACAGCTGAAAATAATTTGCATCTGAAGAGTGAAAGAACGTGTTGGAACAGTGGTGTCCCTCAAGCTCAGGAAGGCTTGGACCCTGATTACACGACAATGTTTTTCAGTGAAACCAGTGTGAAATGAAAACAATGTAAATGCGTTGTTTGTTTTTTTTTGGTCAGATTTCCTAACATGTAAGTTGTATATTATCTGTTTTAAAGGTAAAATTTAAGATTATAATCTTAAAACATAATTATTGAAAGTTATAAAATTATGCTGACGTAGGTGATCTTGGACAGATGTTCCTTGATTATTGTAGAATTATGAAGCATAATACTAAAAGTGAAAATGTTGTCATTCTGAAGGAAGGAACGCAGAATGGAGACATTTACTAAGGGGAATATATGTAACTGTGTTTGTGTCTTGTGTTCGTCTCATTTCTTTAAAACCTTAAGTTCTGATTGTTGACAAACTAGCATTTTGATTTTAGAGTTTTTGTGGTTCAAGAAAATCTCTTGATGAACATATGAAGGTCTTTATTTCAGTATATATGGGCTAACGCCTTTATTTTTTGAGGAACCAGAAGTGTTGCCTCCTACTGGTTATAAAAAATGAATGCAGGGTGCATTATTGTCACTTTGTCCTCCATACAAAGCTCTAGACCTCGACGTCACCTGTTCTGGAGCAGTTTGACATAAGCCAGATGTTACCATCTAAAATCGCATCATAAAACAAAACCTTCAGCCTTTTAGTCGTAAGCTGATAAGTTATTTAATTAACCATCTGGTTATTAATGGATAGTTTAAACATCAGGCCTGCAGAGTATGAGATAGTGTCCGTGCTGTGCTGTATCTGACTGGTTGGGACACACAGGATGTTTGGTTGGAGGCGACAACTGGCTGCTGTCACTTTATCATGGGCTTGATGGACAGAAAACTGATACGGAAACTTTGATGTATTAAAATTTAATGTTTAAGTCAAACAGATAGTTTTAGTGTAATGCCGCTTTCGTGCTAACTTTAGAATCTTGAGTCACAAGACCAATGCTGATTGGACAGAATGGACAAAAAGCAGATGTTTTGTTCTGAATTCACCATTTCCTGCTTTAACAAAAAAAAAACCCAAACATTTAATTCAGGAGTCTAATATGCTACTAATTCATGATTAAGCTCAAAAATTAAAATGTTTATTTTTCTGTTTGACAGGATTTTCAGAGCACATTAATTGTACTTCCTCATTCTTGAGAAACTACAGTAATTACTGTTGTGACTGCACTTCCTCTGGGTGGACCGGGAAGCTTCTTGAGTATTCTTAGGTTTTTAGTGATCAAGCCTTGTGTTTACACCTTCGAGTTAGTGAGGTCAACGACGACTACTGAAGCCAGAGGGTCATTTTGAACCGGAAAGCTTTGGAGATGTGAATGAGTTTTTATCTTCCCTTGAGCTAAACAAACTCACTGCAGGCAGGATTTTGTACTCCCTGCTGAATCATAGCTGGGAGTACACAAATGTCTCAAAATGTCCTTTTATGGCATCGGAGGGCTTTAAAAAACAGGAAATGGCATGGAGTCATCTGATCTCGCAAGAACTCTGTCATTTTAGAGCCGTGGAAGATCCAAGTTTGCCTCGACACCTAACCCGACTCCTGCTCACTCCATAGAAACCAGTTAAAAATGTGAGTGAAAGAACCAAATGTCTGACAGAGAAACAGGAAGTTCTGCTGCAGGAACCATGTTTCCAGTGGAGCAGATGCCACTCTGCATTCTCCCCTGCAGCCATGAAAACATTGTTATAAACTGCTCCCCAACAGTCACAAATAAAGCAAATATCTAAGATATTTGTAAGTATTCCAGTATTAAGAGCTCGTTCTTCGGTCTGTTAGTAAAATATATTTCACTAGATGGGTTTTAATGAAGCTCTGACGTAAAAGATAATAAGTGATATGCATTCCTACAAGAAATACTGGGCCTTTATACATTTTTTGAAATGAACACAGGACCGCTCAGCTCAGTCAAAATGTCTCCATAATAAATACTATTATAACTTTATTACTGTCTTTCTTTTTGTTCATGCAGGACGTGTTCAACCAAGTCATCATCATCAGACTGGACTAGAGGGCTGTCCCTAAATACTCGTCTACATCAGGTACTTATTTAGCTTCTTTATTTGAATAGTTTGTAATAGTTTTCTATGATGACTGCAAATCAAAAACACAGATTCTTACATTTACCGTACTTTTCGCTGTATAAGTTGCACCTTTTTGCATGAATTAGCATGCCCTGCGACTTATACAGTGAAGCGACATATTTGTTCCACCCCCCCCCCCCCCCACACACACATATTTATAACTCTATTTTTGGCTGCGATCTGACGATTTTATTCATTCTGACATGGAAAATATTGAACACTACCATTTTCAGCCACTAGAGGGCCCACAAGTTATATGGCAAGCCAAGTTTCTCATTAATAGGTAAAAGTGGCTATTAATGAGACACTTGGCTTGCCATACAAAGCCACCTTTGTCTCGCTCCGCCCAGGTGAAATGCAGCTGCTTTGACTATCAAAGTGCATTTATTAAGGAAAAGTTAAACTGAGACACACATTTACTATAATTTCAAGCAAACAAATAATTGTTTTTAGGTGTTACTCTTGTTAAAGTCCACCCGTGCACACTCCCGTGGCTGACATTTGGCAGCCAATCGATTGTTGGCACAACACCGGCCCACGTTTCGTCAGCGGTGGCTCATAATAGATGTGACTATACGGCGGTGCGACGTGTTTGGCGGCAAGTATTGCAAACTGAATTAACTCAAAGAGTTCAAAGTCAGACCAGTTACATATATAAAATAAAATTTAAACAGTTTGTATTTTCACAACACTTAAGAACTCTGCTGGCACTGAGTGATGAAAAGTTTCAGCTCGGTCTTCCTGCAAATACGTCTGAAGGTGAGCGACAGTCAGTCACTTTAGTCGCCACAGCTTTGGTTGTTTATGGGGACGGGTCAGAACAGCAGACAGGTCGGTCCAGTACCTGAACCCTCCTCTTCTTCTTCAGTCACACCTTTTGGAAGGTGGGCAGAAAGTGGTTTTATGTCATCTTGTTGGGAAATGATTGGACGTCCTTAGAAAAGATGGGCTTTTGAAAGCAGCATAATGCTGCTGTAAATTTTTTGCTGAACTTTTCTGTATTAATGTTAACTACAGAAGTGGAAATGAGCTGCCCCGTATGGAGCCAGCACGAACATAACTGACATGGTGTTTTTTAATTTAAATGATGTTCGGTAGTGATTTGTCTGACCACACTTTGTTTTCATTGTGAGACGATTCCTTCCCAGATGAAATTAAACTGTCTGCAAAGAAATAAAAGACCGTGTAGATGTCAGAATTAATGCTTTATGTTTTTAATTTGAAAAATGTCCCATTACAATCAAGTCTGACATTTGTGAGCCATTGTTATTTTGAATTCACCTTTTACCTGAAACTATTCACTGAAACTTTTTTTAATTTTTTTTATTTCTCATCTTTTAAGGAACTAGAAATGATCAACTAAAATGTTATGGGACTAAATCAGTGGTCAGTGCAATCGCTAGGACCTTTACAGGAGCATATTTATTTCAGGACTTCCACTCTTAAACTAGAGACGGACTGATTAATCAGCCAACAGATTTAAATCAGCCAGTAGGTTCAAGGTGACTTTGTCATTCGCATCACATGTGGTTCATGAGGTGGAACAACATTATGTACTCAAGGTCCCAGTTACACCCAAAAAATAGCAAAATCCATCCATCCATTATCTTTTACCCGCTTCTTCCATTTTGGGTCATGGGGGTCGCCGCTGCCCAGGTCTGGCAATCATTGTGCGAGGGGCAGGGGACACCCTGAACAGGTCTCCAGTCCATCACGGACACATAGAGACAAACGAGACAAACAACCATTCACTCTCTCTCTCACACCTAGAGACAATTTAGAGTTACGAGTCAGCCTAACATGCATGTTTTTGGTCTGTGGGAGGAAACTGGAGCACCCGGAGAAAACCCACACATGCACGGAGAGAACATGCAATCTCCACCCAGAAAGGCCCCTGGACCGGGATTTGAACCAGGGACCTGCGCGCTGAGAGGCAGCAGCTCTACCAGTTACGCCACCGTGCTGCCCAAAAATAGCAAAATATAAATTATTTAAAAAAAACTGTAAACAAGGACCTAAGATACACACTAAACAATAATAATATAATATAAATGTGGTATTTTAAACAGCAGCCTGAACATGAGTCTCTTGTGAGCAGATGGGTTTGAACACAAGTGTTTAACAGCAAAATAAATAAACTGAGAATGCAAGTGAAACATCTCTGTGGTGAAGGAACCGTGAGTAAAAATAAATAATGAGAATGAAACAGGAAGAACACTGCATGGCTTTGAGAGCTGTTATAATATTAGACTGAGTGGTCAGCTAACAGCAGCACAACAGAATCCTGAAATAGAAATGACAACAGAACGTCTAGACTGGTCACGGTCCAAGCCGTGGGGTATTTAGAACATGGACGTGACCTTACTGTCTGAAGCTAAAGTGAAAATGACCTAAACCTGCTTTTTATTAGTGATCAACAGATGGTTTCAAAAAAGAAAGAAATAAGAAAATGATGCAACAAATTACCAATCTTCTATTGAATGTTAATTTACCGTGTTTTCCACCGTACATGTCGCACCGCCCTATAAGTCGCATCAGTCCAAATATGTCTAATAAAGTGGAAAAAGCTATAAATATGTCGCTTCGCCGTATTCGTCGCATTTATTACGCGTCACCACTGACAAGCTGGAAATGTGGGCCGGTGTTGTGCCAAAAATCGATTGGCTGCCAAATGGAGGCCGTGGGAGCGTACATGGGAGGACTTTAACAAGAATTTAACAAGATTAACACTTAAAAACTATTATTTGTTTGCTCAAAATTATAGCAAAGTTGTGTCTCAGTCTAACATTTGCTTTATAAATGCACTTTGACGGTCAGATCAACTGCATTTTCAAAAGCCGATATGTGGAATCAGGAATGCGCAGAGGGCAACTCACTGTCCATTTCTTCGAAACTTAACAAGATAACCACCTAAAAACAATTATTTGTTTGCTCAACTTTATAGTAAAGGTGTGTCTTGGTTGAACTTTTACTTAATAAATGCACTTTGACAGTAAAATCAGCTTAATTTCACCGGGGCGGCACAGAGAAATGAAGCTGATTTGGTTGCTCCAGGCAGACAACGGTGGCAGGCTAGGGCAAGCCGATTGTGTCATTATAGTCACTTTTACCTATTACATGATAGAACAGCATTCCTTACTACTCGACTTCCATCTAGTGACTGAAAATGGTAGTATTCAATTCTTTTTCAGGCACAATGAATGAAAATGGTCATCTCAGCCAACAACTGGTTTATAAATATGGGAAAAAATCCATAAATAAGTCGCTTTGGCCTTTAAGTCGCAGGGCGTGCGAATTATGCAAAAAACTGCGACTTATAGGGTGAAAATTACGGTAATTTAATATGATGGCAAAGCCTAAAATAGAAAACATTACTTGAAGGGAGTAATTTTAGGGATATGAAGTCATTTTGGTTAAACCTTGAAAATAACGCCTGATTTCATGCAGTGTTAGCCCTCAGGGTACGTGTTGTGAAGGACTCTCAGCTACTATCGCATCAAATTTTACTCGTCATGTGTAAAAATGACTTGGATGTAGCCATTTTTGTATTTGCAAAAGCCAGTTAGCTGTAGCCATCTTGATGTGGGTTGATTTAATTAAAATGTTAGTAAGGTGTACATCCAGTGATCACTTTCATTGTCTCATTAACATTTGTTCACTGGTTTGAAAGATATTTTTAAAAACAGACACACACACACACACACACACACACACACACACACACACACACACACGATGGATGGTATTAATCCACATTTATCTGCACTGCGGCTTCTAACAAAACGTATTAAACTTGCAAACTAATTTCACTTGGCCTTTAGTCACCACATCTAACAAATAAATATCAACCACTGCTGCAGATGTCTGTACGGTCCGCCAGAAGTCTGCTTCTTTCATAGAGGTGGTGTTCAGATGTGTGGTTAACAATGTAGAGGCATGACAAACACACCCAGGTGCACATAGACCAAAACTATTCACCTATTTTAAAAACACTTATGAAAGTTCGAGTGGACGTTTAGCTTCTCTCAAAAAGAAATAGCATTTTTTTTCTCTTTAGGCTTTCACTTCTCTTATGAAGCTGGTTCAACATTCACAACATATATTCAGGATATCTGTAAAAGAAAATGAACATAATTATCGTTTGTGTTCTAAAAAAGTTAAGTCAGGTCCCCTGGACGTTCAAAAAACCAAAAAAAACATTTGTAGAAACGTTTCGTCTTTCATCCAAAAGACTTCTTCAGTCTGAAGTTTGTGTTATTGTCAATGTTTAGGCTTACCCATATGATTTTCCCATCACTACACCACAAGTAAATGTGAATTATGCATTTTACAAGAGTAAGTATGTTAGTCTGGTAACGCATATACAGCAGTCCCTCGCTACTTCACGGCTCGTTTTTCGTAGACTCGCTCTATCGTGGTTTTTCAAAGTAAGACTGGCCATGACACACAGCTGGCTGATTGATGGATGAGCCGCACAATTGGCATGGGATTTTTATTTAAAATAAATAATTTAAAATTATTTAGCACCTGTGTGCAGCCCAAGCTGCAGGAGAAGCTTCTTCATGCAGCGTGACATATCTCCGCTCTGCAGCAAAGTGGGCGTGGCCAAGAGCGCTGGCAGAGAGCAGTGGAGGCGGGGAGCTGACATGATGACATTCTGTGCTCTTTTAGAGCGTTTAGAGTTGAGAAACATTGTTTAGAATATTGCAAGAGCGTGGGAAGGATTTAAAATGCCTTAAAAAAATCTAAAATAAACGACTACTTACTTCTTGTATTACTATTCCTACGTCGCGGTTTTTCACTTATCGCGGGGCTTCTGGGTACAAATCCCCCGCGATAAACGAGGATCTTCTGTACTCTGTGTGAAGAACAAACATAAATCTAAGCATCTACTAGGGGTCTCATTTCTCTGATGTCATTTGATAAGAGATGCAACTAAAGAATTTCACAAATGTCCAGCAGCTTAGGATCACTGACCATTCTTCGCTCCGTGGACAATGACACGAGCATCGTTTGGTCAGCAGCAAGGGCTTTTAATGTAAACCTTTTTTAAATCTATAAATAAACGATGTGTTCCTAAGTACATTTTATACCAATTCTGGTGAATAATACAAGAAACCAGTGTAATAAACAGAATCAGCTGATTCAGATGATTTTTGGTTTTAAATGATTTTCCACTTAGTTCATTTTAGTTTGCACTGTTGTTGTTAACATGAAATAATATTACTTCTTTCTAAATATTGCAGCTGACTATACTTGAAGAAATATAATATTTTTACCTTTTGTACAGGTGTGAGTGGGGTGAAGGTGCAGAGCAGCAATCATGGTTGCCCTGTCATTAAAGATCGACGTGGGGAATGTGGTGAAAACCATGCAGTTTGAGCCCTCCACAATGGTCTATGACGCCTGCCGCATCATCAGGGAAAGAGTTCCTGAGGCACCGCTTGGCCAGCGTGAGTCCTCTCTACATACACACACTCATGGAGATGGGACAGCCACAATGCCTGCATGTTGCCCTAAACCTTGTATATTCACAGGCAGCTCTGAGAGCAAAGACAGACAAAACTTGATAACACTAGATCAAAGTTCATGCTCAGTAATCCAGGTAAAGAAATGCAACAAAGTTCAGTCAGGTCATCTGGACGTTTTCTTTTTGTTGGGACATTCCGTCCTTCATCCAAAGGACTTCATCAGTCTGAGGAGCCACAACAAACTCAATCCACAAGCAGCACACTTATAATAGTGGAACAACCATTTCTGGGGCGTGCCCCGTTGATAACTTTAGCTTGTTGTTTACGTTATTTTAGGCTTTTTTTGGTTTGTTCGGTCTTTTGTAGATCAGTAAAATTCAATTAAAATTGTAGTTGTGGAAATGCTTTGACACAACTGTGGGGCTGTCACAGTTGGGCCTTTTAAAAATTATTCAGTCCTTTAGTTTTGCCACAGTTTCTGCTTCCAACTCATTACTTTTCACATCAAAATGATTACACTTTGCACATCCCAGTACTTTACACCTGTTGTTGATCCTAATATTTTGGCTGATCAGATCCATCCGTCCGTCCGTCCATCCATCCGTCCATCCATCCATCCATTATCTTTAGCTGTTTCTTCATTTTCGGGTCACAGGGGTCACTGGTGCCCATATCCAGCAGTCACTGTGTGAGAGGTGGGGGACAACCTGGACAGGTCTCCAATCCATCACAGGGCCAGATTGAGGTCTATAATTATCTAATACATATACAATATCAATATAAATTTAAACCTTTGTAATTCTAATAATATTATATTGATGAACATTATATTGATGGTCCTTCTTGAGCATGTGAGCAGCCGGTTTTGGTTGTCAGCAGCAAACTGGTTGATCCACTCTGAGAAGGTGCTATTTATGAGACTGAGCTGAATACAGCACCTCAGACTGAAGAAGTCTTTTGGATGAAAAACAAAACGTATCTACATTTTTTTGCTTTGTTTTGTTTTTTGGTTTTTTTGAATGTCCAGAGGACCAGATTGAACTTTTTTAGATTTTTTTACCTGGATTATTGAGCATGCATCAGGAAATATTATATTGTGTTTTAATGACATTCCCTTTAATAAAAGTGTGCAAACCTTTTGAATAGTACCATATACACATGTACATTTTCTGTTTCTTCATGTATCTATACTGTATAGAAGTGTACTAGTACACCTAATGCACAGTTGGGTGCATACCGTATTTTCTGGCGTATAAGTCACAGTTTTGTGCATAGATTTGTCAGTTCTGTGACTTACATGCCGAAGCGACTGATAAGTTTTTTTTTTTTTTCCATATTCATAATATTTTTTACTGATACTTCAAATTTCTAAGAACTGCAACAGTGAGTCCTCCTGGGCGTGCTCGATTCACTCAGCTGGTGCAGGCTGAGGAACGCTGGAGAGTTAGCGGCTCTGGTCGCGATGGATGGATGGATGGATGGCGCCGCACCGCCCATGCGAAATGAAGCTGTTTTGACTTTTAAATAAATGCATAATAAGCGCAACGAGTCAGTGGTGACGCAAAATAAATGCGACTTTTACGTCGAATTGTCTTATATATGTTTTTTCCTCTTCATTATGCTTTTTTTGACTGATACGACTTATACTCCGGAAAATATGGTACTTGTATGTACGAGGGTCACAGTGTTGTACAGGTTTACTACAACAGGAAAGAGATGTAAATACCAAATTTTATTTTTATACTGATAAAACTCTCAGAAGAGGAGAAACCGAGGCAATAAAATAAATCACCCATGTTAGTACCTATCCATATAAAGTAGCATGTAGTTTCAAAAGGACAGAATTTGTCAACCAATAATTTGGCTATAAAATAAGTTTCACTGTCTTTATCCACTCTGAGCTGTAAATATTAACCAACAAGCTGTGTCAAAATGTTTGATCAACTTTAGAAAGATATCTTTTAGGAAAATATATTACTAAAAAATGAATAACAAGGAAACAAAAACCAAGGAGTTTTAAATTGATCTAGACTTGTTGCAAAATAAACAGCTATATAGAAGTCAATAATGCATGGCAAAGTTAAAATACAAACAAAAATGTTAGTGTGCTAGCGTGAAAATGATGCTTGATTACGGGGATAGTTATTAAATAAAATGTCTTGCCAAAGTACTTTTCAAAGCGTCAATAAAATGACACAACTGCTTTCCGTACCGCACCTCTCGCTGCTGCTTTTTCAACACAGCTGATTTAAATAAACACCAGAGCCTCCCTTCTTTTTCTTACTATCATGTTTCTGCACATACTTTTACTTCCTATGACCTGAAAATTGGTGCCTCTCTACTGTGTTGAAGGATATTTGAGTTTTTGAATGCACCTGGAGCAGAACGTTTGGTTCATGGAGGAAGGAAATGGCAGCTCCTTCTGTCTGAGGAGAACTGAGGAGGAGATTGTGCCCCAGAATCTAAATTAGGACCAAATTTCTTTGTGCAGCCAAGGAGTCAAGAGTTTCCAGTTCAGTAGGCTCCAGACTGAATTTAGTAGAATATCTTTACGTTTTTCAGGGTTTTTTTCATGAATGAGAGCATAATGTTAAAGACACACTATGTTGTACCATTGGGTTGTGTCATCCAGATGGCAGAGCTATTGATTTATTGATTCTGCATCTAAAGAAGCCATTTGATTTGGTGTGGGTGTCTATTAATAATGCATTCTTGACATCTTCTCTGGCTTAAGAACATGTCTCACTGAGAGGAAGCTTCAGGGCGCTGCTTTGACCGATCATCTGCACTCCCTTCCTCTTGCATCACTGTTCAGAGAGCAGAATATGTCCAAAGACAAATTGTCTCATAAATAAAATGTCATAGGGATCTTTGTCTTGTTTATGGTTACTAATCTCTTCAGAGAGAAACGTTCCATCCATGCATTTTCACAAATGCATCATCTGAAGGTAGGGATGCACGATATTATCGGCATTGTATCGGCCAATATTAGCGATAAAGTTAAATATCGGACATCGGCCATTCCATCAAAATAACTCACTGATATAAAAGGTGCTCTATATATATATATGTTGAAGTGTTGCATCATTTTCATCCCCTTTTTTGGCATCTGCATTTGGTAGCAGGACAAACTGACAAAGACCATGCAGAATAATGTAGTATTTTAATTCCACAGCAGAGAAAGCCATGTAGTATCTGTAAGTAGGTCTAGGGGGAAAAAATATTGGTATTGGTTATCAGCCAAATAAGTTTTGGCATATCGGATATCAGCCAAAAATCCAATATCATGCATCTCTATCCTGAAGGGCGCGTGGAGTAAAGTTTTGTTACGCAAGTTCTTTCATCAGCAGCTCCCTGTTCGACTTGCTCCAGCATGCTGGCCATTTTACAATCACTGTAAGAAAATACCAGTGCCTCTGCTTTGCCCATGGGAATGGCTTGTTTCTACTGGCCAGCAAATTGTACATCTGATTCTCCAAAATCAGCTATAACTATGTATTATACATTAATAATAGGAGAGGAAGAGGTACAATTTTGGGTGTCTTTTTAGCGCTGCAGGTAGTCGTGGCTCATTTGAGACACTTATAATCTTGAAGTATTGATGCTTCCATTTTAAGTACAAATAATATTAACTGTGTTGTAAAGAGAATCAGTGATATCCTTTAAACTACTTTTACTGATGAATCATCTGTAATAGAAGCTTTAGAAATTCAGAAAAACTGGCTTTGTGTTTGGATTGCTTTCATTATTATAATAAAGCTCTGAACTGGGACTGTAACCATTTACAGACATATATCTTATCTCTCCTGTTATTTTAAAAATTCTTGAAAGAACAATTGAAAATTATCAGTAGAATCAAAAGCACAGCAGTGATTGCTTTTTTATGGTTTCATCCAGGGATAGAGCGGATCGTAACACAGGAAAAACTATGGTGAAATTCACTAACAATCTTCTCCTGGCCTCAGACCTGTTGGAGCACGCAGCGGACACTGTTGCTACTTGTACCGCTGGGTCTCAGTGTTGCATTTTATATGACATCACCTTGTTTTTATACAGATACTTGAACATGTTTTTGAATTTCGAAGAAGCGCATTGAATAAAAGCCCTATATCAGGGGTGCCCAATACATTGATCACGACCTACCGGTCGATCGCAAAGGCATTACGAGTAGATCGCATGGCATTTAAAAAAATAAAAATTAACGTCCGCATCCTCACTATAAAATTTGTCACTTGAATGACATACAGGGCAGCCAGTCTGAGGTCCTTTATGTGAAACCATGGCCTTTCTGCTGCGGTTTGGCCATTCCTTTACACTACAACAGCCCTCATTAAGACCCCCCCCCACCACCACCACACCCACACACGCACGCACGCACGCACCCACCCACACACACACACACACACACACACACACACACACACACACACACACCCACACACGGAACATTACTTTTTATGTTTTCACTCTTAAGCAGATACCCCTTATCTGAGAAACCAGATAAAAGTAATCTGTTAAGTAGACCACAATCAAATCTCAAAGGCATAAAGGTTAGAAAACCTTTTCAGTTTACTTTAAAACTAATCTTAGGTTATTATGGTTTGACCTAAACCTATTCTGCAGTTATTATATTATTTTGCTGTTAAAGTAGTTCGTGTTTGTGAAGCTCTTCAGAGTTATTTTGCACAATATTTATAATACTTCTTTCGGCTTTTTCCTCTTCAGGGGTCGTCACAGCGAGTCGTCCTCCTTCATCTTCCTCTGTCCTCACTCCAACTACCTTCATGTTCTCTCTAACTGCATCCAACTATCTCTTCTTTGGCCTTGCTTTTTGTCTTTTTCCTGGCAGCTGCATTTCTAACATCCTTCTACCAATATACCCACTGTCCCTTCTCTGGACATGTCCAAACCATCTCAGTCTGGTCTCTCTAACTTTATCTCCCAGTTGTTCAACCTGTGCTGTACCTCTGATGATTTCATTCCTAATCTTATCCATCCTTGTCACTCCTAAGAAGAACCTCAACACCTTCATTTCTGTCACTTCCAGTTCTTTCTCCTGTCTTTTTGTCCATGTCTCTGTCTCCAGACCATACAACACAGCTGGTCTTACCACGGTCCTGTAAACTTTTCCTTTGACCTTTGATGACACTCTTTTTTTTGTCACAAATCACTCCTGAAACTTTTCTCCATCCACTCCATCCTGCCTGGACTCTCTTTTTCACTTCTTTACCACATTACCCATTTTCCAGGACGGTGGACTCCAAGGACTTGAAGTTCTGCACCTTTGTGACCTCTGCTCCTTGTAGCCTCACTGTTCCACCGGCCTCCCTCTCATTCACACACGTGAACTCTATCTTACTACTGTTGACTTTCATTCCTCTTCTTTCAAGTGAATACCTCCACCTCTCCAAGTTCTCTTCCACCTGTCCCCTGTTCTCACCACAGATCATGTCATCTGCAAACATCATAGTCCACGGGGATTCCTGTCTGACCTCATCTGTCGGTCCATTACCAGAGAAAACAAGAAGGGGCTCAGAGCCGATCCTTGATGCAATCCCACCTCCACCTTGAAGCTATCTGTCATTCCTGCAGCACATCTTACCACTGTCCTGCTGTCCTCATACATGTCCTGTACCAGTCTAACATACTTCTCTGCCACTTCAGATTTACTTATGCAATACCACACCTCCTCTCTTGGCACTCTGTCATATGCTTTTTTAAATTCACAAAGACACAATGGAGTTCTTTCTGACTCTCTCTGTACTTCTCCATCAGCATCCTGAAATCAAAGATGGCATCTGTGGTGCTCTTTCTCTGCATGAAACCATACTGCTGCTCACAGAGAGTCACCTCTCGTCTAAGTCTTGCTTCCACAATTCTCTCCCAGATCTTCGTGTGGCTCATCAACTTAATTCCCCTGTAGTTGCTACAACTCTGTACATCACCCTTGTTCTTAATTATTTTGCACAATAACGTGTATAAAATTAGTTTAATATCAACCATACTTTCAGTTGTGCAGTGTATTGCAAAATAACACTTTTTATTGGTACTTTTATTTGAGCATTAAGTGTAGAACCACTAAACTGAGGAGCAGCTTCTACTTTTGAAGCTGTTAGACTCATGAATCTCTAATCAGGATTATCACTGTAAAAAAAAATCACTCGAATGCCACTTTAATTGTTTATGTGCTGCTGACTGTCCATGCTGCTGATCTCATGCTGCTGATTTAGTTCATGCTGCTGTGTTCATTCGTACTCATCTGCTCACACAGACTCATGTTCGTGCTGCTGTTGTTCAGTGTACTACTAGTGCGTAGTGTATTCTTAGTTTAGCATATTTCTAAGTCCATATCTTAGATCTTATTACTGTTTTTCTTTACAATTTATACTTTTGTTGGATGTAACTGGGACCATGTGTACACAATTTCGTTCCATGTGATGAGAATGACCATAAAGAAACTTGACTTGACTTTATGCAGAAAAACTAGTTTGTAGTTTTGCTTCTTCAATATTAGTTATTTGTAATTCTTTGTTATCAACATCCAAATAATGTGAGAGCCTAAAACAAGTTCAGAATGTTGCAGCAAAGGTTCTGGTAAGAATAAGCAGCAAAACCACAATTATTTTCCCCCATTTTAATTGATGTCCTGGTAAATCTACAGCAAAATGTAAAACCTTTTTTATGCACTTGTCAAAAGGCTTATGGTATATAGTATTATGGTATATAATATTATGGTATATAGTATTATGGTATA